TTGTAAAAGATGTCTTGCTTCAAAAATAAATGTAGGGAATTAGTTAATATCCCCTCAAATACAAACACTTAATCAAAAGGTTCAAACTAAACATTATTTTTCAAAAAACTAATTTTAATTTTACAATATATCAATCATGTTCATTCATTTCATTTCCTCGCTTACCACCAAAATTGCCCAATAATATTTGTGTATTCTTATGTTTACAAACTTTATCCCTACATTCACAATTGAAGCCTAAAATTCTCACAAACCTATCTTAAATATAATTGTACAATAGCTGCCCCTTCCTTTTAATTTGAATTCATTGGTTCAAAGATTTAGAACATTAATACACCAATTCCTCATTCAGCACAACAAGACATGAATACCATTCCTAACATTTCAAACTTTACAATAAAATGATTGTATTCAGTTAGATTGCCAACTGTATGCATTAATAATTAATTCAACTTCAACATTTTTCATGTGATAAAAGTGTTGCACTTGCCTGCATAGTAGGAGTAAATAACAAACTAAAAATAATTCTGGTTATATTGTTAACAGAGAAATTCATCCCATGATACATAACTGAAGTGCTATAATAACAAAATGAAAAATTAATCAATCTCAAATTTTTATTCCTTCATCCTATTCTTTTCATAATTGGAATTATTTCTTTAACTGTTAAAAAGATTTTAAATAAAATTTACAAATAAACCTATTAAAATTTTACCCCAAATGTTTTAGAATCAGTTTGTAACAACAATAAAAGCAGTAATAATAATAATAATAATAATAATAATAATAATAATGAAATGATCCATTTGCATGTGACATTTTTTCCATTTTTCGTCGATTTCGACTAATAAGGCATTTTTTACCCCTTTCTGCCCTTTTTAAAGCTGATTTCATTGATTTTAATATAATTAAAATGGTACTGACTTCCAATAATATTTATGAGATGCAACAAATGTTCTCCACAAAAGTCGTGTGTAGCAGTTCGATTTCTTCGCTCAGAAATTGTAATGTCCACAGTAACACCTACCAGCGTCATTGTGTGCCCGATTTCACGATACCTAAAGTCAAAAATCCTGGGAAAGATCAGAATTTTTCAAGCTGAGCTCACTTGAACGGTCTCGATTACATCAGTTAAATATCCAACAGATTTACTTGAGTCGTTCATATACATATACATATATATATATATATATATATATATATATATAATATATATAATATAATATATACATACATGACATACATACAATACATATAATTTTTATCATCGGTTTTCTTCTTTTGCTTTTAGAACATTTTTTGTACTGCTTTCGCGACTGAGAATCTATCAATTCTGGTTACATCAACTATTTAGGTCCTAAATCCATTAATTAATATGAAAAACATTTTTTTGTAATTCCGCTTGTTAGGTATTTTGATTGTTAGTTGGGTGACATTTTTAGAATTTGCTTGTTGAAGAGATTTAAAGAGAGGAGCGTACGTGTTGTTATATATTCCCAATCTCATTACTTGGAACTTTTTTGTATGAAATATTTCACACATGTTACTACATATGCATAGGCGTTTTATATTGAATATGTTCCGCATATGCATACACATATCATTTGCAAATTCATTTTCTTTTTACTTTGACTTTACTGTATTTCACAATCACTTGATTTTTGGTCCATTGGTGTCCATGGTTATTAGCCTTCCTTGAGCTTAATCGAATCTAAGCTCTTGCATTTTTAATTTGGGCGAGTCCTAAATAGTTTTATTTCGACCCAAAATCGCGCGAATTAACACGGAAGCTACCTGAACCGAAGAAGCTTTACAAGGCATTACGTGTTACGTCACTTGTTTGCGACAACGCAGTACAGTCCTGGGCGCTTCTTTTCTTTTGAGTTATTTTAGGTCAGAGTTCTGTAATTTTAGCTTGAAAAATGCATTCTCTTTGCTATCTACAATTACCGTGCGGAAGCCGCATGAACGGGTTGAAAGGATAGCTGCCAATCGAAATTTTAAACACAAATACAAAATAAACAACAGACAGGTGGCAACTAAGGTTATTCTTAACTCCGTGGCTCCCTTGCAAATTTCGAAAAAGGCCCCGTAGCCTTACGTAATGTTTTTTTAAAATCTGTTATGTTCAAATACTGCCTATCCGTTTATAATCTTGTCAGTTTTTGGAATCCCATATTAAGAACACATTCCAGAACGAGGCCCTCCAAGCCATCTGGCTAACTGTAAATGATGCAACATAAAAGCAATTGTATTGCTTTCTCGTCGTTACGAATATCAACGCTAGCGAACAGTCGATTCTCTTCAATATTTATATTTCCCAATCGATCTGAATGAACTTGAGACTTTGAGAGTTTCAAACAGATATTTTGATTTTTGATAATACTTTACTCGAACATGAAACCTCAAAAATATTTTTTTATTTTTCCCCAAAAATAGCGCCGAAGTTTTCGATCAAACTTTGTCTTACGATAGCGTCAAGGACGCTTTTGAGAACGGTGTAGGTACCATGTTCGTCGAAATTCCGAATTTTTTGAAAATTGGAAAAGTGCAATTTTGTGGGGGAATTATAATGGAATTATAATATTGATGATAGAGGTTTTTCCCTTAATTAAATCTGTTCGTTGAAGACGGATATTTAAGTAGGTGCATGTCCAATTTTTCGAAAATATGAGTACTTTTCGTGTAATTTGTAGGCAATTTAAAACATTTTAAATATATTTAAAAAGTTTAATTTATTTAAAAAATTAACTTTTGTCTTAGAAAAACCGCTCCAAAATTTTTCTTTAATTTTTTCACGGATAGAAGAAGGAATGCTTAAAAGAATAACGCGTATTTAATTTTCGTTGAACTCTCTGAATTTTCGAAAATAGCAAATTTAGAAATAATGCGAGAAAGTATGTGCTACAGTAGCACCTCAATTTTTATCATTTTATCGTTAATGTTATAAACTCATTTTCATTTTATGCATTTTATTTATTTGCTAGTAAAATATGTTAAATTAAGTAGAAAAGCGTAAATGCAAAAAGGTCGCCCACAAATGTAGTTGCCCCCCCCTCTTCTTTTGGGCTACTTACGTCTATGAGGATGTTGAGTATGTCGCTTAACAGCATCATGTTATCCTCAAAATCTCTTTGACGAATCCTGTCGACTTGTTCGAAGCCTTAACAACACCAGTGCATTATGTTCTTTTTCATCCAGCAGGCCAAATACCTAAAGACCATGGGCGTGGCTGTCGAACAGGAAGAAGCCTCTTCTTTGAAGCGATCCCTCTCCAATGAAGCGGCTTCCGAACTGGGAGACTTGGACCGAATTCTGGATTTCGTGCTGTGCTGCTTAGCGCACAACCTGACGAACACCAGCTCCTCACAGCGCGTCCCAGACCTTAACATGTCGTTTCCGCTCAAATATGGATATATTGAGGTATTTGAATACATGAAAATTTTCGATTGATAGTGAAGACAATTTTTCACTATATTACAAATAAATCTCTTTTATACAGTAAAAAATAGCAATAAAAGCTACATGAAATGCTCTAAAACCTTTAAAATATCCACAAAAGATAAGATTAAAATTTTACACTAGCAATTTTTTTACTAAAATGGAATGCAAGAGGCTTAAAAAATGATGACGTGGATTATGAATGTATAAAGAGTTCGAATACTCTTATCTGCCTGAATTATTATTTTTTAATTCTTTACAGCATTTTATAATTTTTAAAAAAATTCTCAAAATTTTGATATGCACATGATACTTTTAGGATGTGATGGAAAATAACTGAAGATCTAATTATATTACTGCACTGTTTTAAGGTGAAAGTTTGAACTATCTACATCTTCGTACAGCGTGCGCATAAAGGCGCGCTAGGCAGATAAGGGTTAACAACAATCCTCGGTAAAAAACTACTTTAAAATAATGTACTTTTTGTAAAAATATTATTTCGTATTCACAGATTCGTATTGAGTTGTGTCAAGAGTATTTTTCTATATTTTTCTTCGCCTTTTCTTGATTCTTCTCTTTTCTTTCCTTCTGTCTTGTTCTCGCCCTCTTTTATTTCCTTCTTTCTTGTTCTCATTCTTTTGTCTTGTTATTTTTCTCTTTTTTCTTATCTTCCTTCGTCCTTTTTACTTTTTGTGTTCCAGTTAATATTAATTAGGTATCACGACTGGAGGAATTGCTGGAATACAGAACGTATAACGCGTAGGCAGCAATCTAATTGCATGAAAAAAGGTGCCAGTAATTCAAAGTGCTCAGCAAAATTTATTGAATCGGTTGTGAGTGCGTGTAAATTGCAAGAACATATTATGTGTATCATTCAAGTATATTATACATGCTTAATGTTAAAATATTGCGCTGTATAATAGACGTACCATTTAATAAACACATTAACGGAATACATTACAAACTTGTAAGTACATCGTTTTGTATTGTCATGTTTCATGTATTGTCATCAGTTTTGAATGAAAAACCAAAGCTACTCCGCTTTTTAAATTTCAATTTCAGTAAAGTTGTACTCTTTACTAAGTGGACTTAGAGCCGAGCAAAAAAAAAAGGGAAGAAAGTGGTGACTAAGAAAAAGTATTAATTTTTTTAGAACTTTAATTCTTTAATTAAAAATGATTAAAATTGACGTTTTAAATCATTTTCACGCCACTGACGATTACGCCCATTCCTGCCTTACTGGGGCTGTAGCCCTATCGGAAAAAGGTCTAGAGCATGCGTGTGCAACGTGCAAGGCCTCAAGGCCCACAACTATAACCTTTAATATGGTTGCGGACCATATTTTCATTACTCGGCACTTTCCCCAGCTGCTCTGAAACGGGAGGAGGTGAAGTAAATGGATCCATGTGAGATATATCAGGCCGTGTTGTGCATAACGCAGTGTAACACATTCGGATGATTTTGAATACTTGAGTTTACTTTGAGAAAATCCTTGAATTTAAACTTTACCAGTTTTTAAGGGGGTGTTGGCCTCAACAGAGCGCGTGCGATAGGCACCCAATGTTCTCGAGGAGGCAAGGAACTTTCACGTGATACCAACACAGCGCGACCCGCGTGTTGGACAACCCTGGTCTAGAATGGCAGATGTTCCTCGGCACAGGTGCAGTGCCACCTGTCCGCGCAGGAGGGAGCCGTGGACGGCTTTGAGACCCTGCATCGCGACGGCCGCGCCACCACCTTTCGCGGCGAGGACGGGAAGCTGGTGCTGGACGCGACGGCTGGCCTGCACTTCATGCGCCTCCGCTACGCCCAGTACACCCTGCGCGTGGGACTCGTCACTCTCCAGGGGACGCTCGAGGTGAGAGTAAACATTAGGACGCCTTCGCACGGGGCCACTCGCCAGCGCCACCGACCGGCGACGCTGAGCGTGGGAAAGGAAGGATTCGCGAGTCACCGCTGAGGGTGCCGACGCCTTTAATTAAACTGTCCAATGCAGAAAGGGTGCTTGTTCACAATTCGGATATTTTAATGTTATGATTGGCATGCCTAATTTTAGCTTTAACTTTCACTGGACAAAAACTTTTTCTGTAATATATTCGGTTCACATACTGCATATGTTTCTGCAAAAAATTTACAAAATATAATAATAATAATAATAATAATTATTATTATTATTATTATTATTATTATTATTATTATTATAAGGCTTGTTGAAAATCGTTTTTTCTATCCCCTGTAAAGATGTGAAAATGTAAAATATATCCTTTCTGCATCGGACGGTTCAATGAATCTCGTAGAAGACAAACTTTGAATCACTTAAGTATGCTTGTAATAATAATTTACATTACAAGATAAGAAAGTGTATATTTTCATGACTATATGGGAGAGGATAATAATCCGATTCTAAGAATCCAGTCCCGTCATGCAAAATCACTTTTGTCGTGTGATGCACACTATTTCATTCCAGACCCCAACTTTATGACACGTTTCCCGTGTGATATACAAATTTAATTTACGAACATGAGAGCATACTACATATTTTTACGTACCTGCTTAGTCATAAGTAGGGGGCGGATTTTGATGACCTAAAACGTTGCCAAAAATATAAATAAAAATCTCTTGAAATGTTTTTAAAATGACCTGATCGCAAAGAAAAATGACGTAATAAATGTGATCAAAAACGCCCAGAGACACATTTTGGGAGAGGTAATTATAAATGTTTTCGTCGTATGCGTCATTACACATTTTGTAAAATGTCGCAGGTTACACTCAGCTCATGCTCATGTTAATGATTTTATTCGTTTTAATAATCTGAAAATACTTTACCTTGAAAGTTTCGTGACAAGTTAAAATTTATAGTTACTGAAAAATATTTAGGGGGGGGGGATTTCCCTCCCCGTGGATTCGCGCCCGATAAAGCGCTGGTGAACCATAACTGAGCAGACCATCCACAGCCCTCTCAAGAAGTGTCCTGTAGGCGGCCGTGGACCACCGCATGGGTTGATTGATGCAGGCGCAGTTTAGCCAAACTTCGATACGTCACGGAAAGGTTTTCGATGTCGACGAAAAGATCGACAAAAACATCGATGTTGTAAATATAATGAGACATTTCGAAACAAAATCTCCTCGTTCTCAAGTGATAAATAACACGTCTATATAAAAAGTATACTCTGCCTGAAATTTGACTGTCATCTTAATTTTGCAATCAATGTTTCTATGTAGTGAATGTTCAAATTGCTGTTTAATGATATTACCACGTACAAAATAATCGAAAAAGGTAACAACACTGGAAAAAGAATCCGAATATAAACAGTTTCGAGACGCCTATGGATCGATAATAGTGACAGTTGTCAATGGCTGTTGATTGCGAGCAATCCACGAATAAAATAGGTACTAGGCTTGAAGTCGCCTCGCCTTTTCTTTCTTTGCTTCTACATTGTGACCCGCCTTCTCGGCCTCCTTCTCTACTCAGTTTTCTTCTTCTCCTCCATTCCCTTCCCACTCCTCTCCCTCCCTCCCTCCCCCCTACCTTTCCTGCTCCTTCTCGTCCCTCTAGCACCATCTCATATCACTGCTGAACGGGAGGTCCTAGGTTCGAGACCTGACGGTGGCAGAATTTTCGACACTTGTCAGTTAGGTCGAAGTACATAATATGCGGCGGCGATGGTGTAACGGTTAGCGTACTGGACTGTTGTACCCAATTTGGCGGGTTTCCCGATCGAAGCCGTGGATTTTTAAGGGCGAAAAAATCCTTCGTACGCCCTTCTTCGGAGGCGAAGTAAGCCGGCTGTCGTAGCTTTACTGCATGTAAAAGATCCGCAAGCCTTAATGGACGCTCTGAGCTAATTCAATCGCCTGTTTCTCGCCAAGAATACCTTCCTTTCTCTCCTAGTTGGTGAAAGGAGCGTAGCGGAATTTGCGTGTCAGACGGAGAGCGGGCTGATGCCCGTCTCGCACGTAAAAAGGCAAATTCAATTCAATTCATAATCAATTCGGCTTGGCGCATGCCTGTTGGCGCCCTGCACATCGCTGTGTTTTTGCTTGCCCCCCTCCCCCCCCCGAGGCGAGGTTGGTCGGCCGGTGGCGCTGGCGCGCGCGTGCGTGGGCGGCGCCGCCGGCCCTGGACGCAGGCGCCGTTGGGGCTGCGGGTGGCGCGCGGAGGCCGCGTGGCGTGGACGCGTCGGGCTGGGCGTGTGGAACCCGCTGTGCCGTGCTGCTGCCGCTGGCGCACGCTGGCTAACGAGCGCATGCGCCACTGCCTGCACCGCGTCGCCGTCCGCCACCTGGACGCCTGGTGCATGACACGCCTGCAGCGTGACGCGCCCGTCAACGCCGCCGCCGCTGCGCTCTCGGGTAGAGCGCCCTGCAGGCTTCTCAACGCGCTCGCCGCGCCGCGCCTCGCCTCGCCTCTTCTGTCCTCGTTTCTACATTCTACATCCCGCCTTCTCGCCCTGCCGCTCTACTTGGTTTACTTCTCCTTTCTTCGCGTCTTCTCTCCCCTCCTATCTTCGCGTCTTCTCTCTCCTCCTTCTCTCCCCTTCCTACTCCTCACCCCCACTCTTCCCTTTCCTCCTTCTCCTCCCGGTCCTTCTTCGTCCCTCCAGCATTCACGCATGTCACTGCAGTGCCTCGGACCGGGAGGTCCTAGGTTCGAGAACTGACGGTGGCAGAATTTTCGACACTTGCTTGTCAGCTGGGTCGAGTTCAGTGGCTGGCGAATGCCGGAGCAATATCCTAACAAACGGGCCACGGTCCGCTCTCATTTTTTTCTCATCCTTGTCCTGTAATCACCCCTTAGTTACACACTTACATTTACAAGCACTACACTACCACGCATGCCGGAGACCGGTCGGGAGCTTAGAGCTATGTCTCGCTTGTGGTGGATATCACGCTAGCCGATGGTAGGTCGGCGCCGGATCTCGCCAGCCAGGGGGGAATGATTACCGCCATCTCCAGAGGAAAATCATTCACTACTTCCTGTGCTAAAAACATTAGCAGTTGACAGACCAGATCACTAATTAATCGAGTGTTCGAAAAAGTTCATTGGAAGTCATTTGAAGTACTTCCACTCACAAATGCAATATTGCAGATAAATCTCTGGAAATGTTGAAATTAAGGGTGTAACAGATTTTTTTTTTAAATTGTGTAAAAAAAGGAGAAGAATACAGCAAAATTGCTATTATGTCATCTTAAACAGTGCATAATCACTATCCGTACAGATAGAGAGATTAGATAGATAGGCAGAGATAGAGAGAAAAGTGAGAGAGAGAGATATAAAAAACTACAATTGCGTAATTTTGGAAAAAGCAGAACAAAATTGGAGCTGTTTTGCGAAATTCTTGGTTTTGATATTTTTAATATTGCACATACCACATTTTGTAAAACTTCTTACGTTTAAAAAAATGTACTGTCGAAAAAACAAATTTTAGAGGATAATCCCTCCTTTCAATTTTGTAGTTGGATTAAGGCGAAAAAATTTCAAACTTTTACAGTTTTCGATAATTTTGAGTTGTCAGTGAAAAATTTATAGTAATCGGACCTATGACACATTTATAAGTGTGTCTCGTTCTATCTTACAAGATATTGGGGGGGAAAAATTGGAGCCATTTTTAAGGAAATTTTGCAAACATCTCAGGTTTTTCCAATAAAGTGACCCAAAACTTGTAAAGAATGTGTTTCAAAACCGCGGAGCTTCGAATCGGGCCAGATCGACGGGGGAATATTCATTTTGGAAAATAATACTACGATTAGATTAGGCGCTATTGTTGTTTACTGACGGGCGGTCGGACAGAATGACGGAAGGACGTTTTGAAACCTGTAAATAAAAACAATATCTTCGTATTAACCCGCCAATTGAGTTTTGTATCTGCTATGAGAACTTGTCCTGCTTTGTGTGAAAATTCGACCACTATTAATATACCTTGTATTATTTGTACGACTGACAACCTCTACATTCACCTTTGGATTTTGGTGGACCGTATTTCGTGTAATTTTTGCATTGTCTGAAATGATTTTACGGAAATGAATGCATTCATCACCCGGAGGCTACAGGAAAAAGCAGCAAATGCGGTTGCGACCGCCGTGAACGGCTGTAATCTGAAGTTCTTCCCGGAAGTGATAAGCTATGCATAAGGAAGCAGTAGTCAGGCCCAGATTTATGTGGCGCGTTAGCCGGATCTGAGACTTCTTTCTAAATTTTATCTATGAATATCTTGCAGCTGCAAACTTGGCCTTCGCATGAGATGACCATGTTAGGAATTCATTAAAATGGAACATTTTAGTTTTTGTCACCAAGATAAAACAGAAAGGTTAGGATTGAAAATTAAATACATAAATTAATTTTTTTAAGATAAGCTAGTAATATATATATACCGACTTTTATAGTATAAATAACAGATATATAATATTAACATATTATATCATATATAAATACGTGTAACGTTCCTGATGTAGTATTCAATTCACGACAACCAAACAAACCATTAGGAAAAAACTTTGGAAATAAAAAAAATACTCATTTGTTTAATTTGCACTTTCATTCTTTACGTAGTAGGTCAGTATTTCTCAATTAAGATTGTACACTAAGTCGTACGGAAAGTCTCATTGTCAGAAGTAGAAGGATCGGATTATTGAATTTCTCCATAACGAAATTGTTAGCAATAAAACATAAGTTGAAACGACACAATAGCTGCATTTCCTTTTTCTAGAAATCATAACCGACTTTCTAAACACTTGTTTACGTAGCTCGTGAGCACTATTTTTGTCGCACTATTTTTATAAACAAATGCGAAACAAACATATTATAATAAATGTATTATTGTTGACGGCATTTTATGCTGTCTGGCCATTGGCACAAAAAGATGAGACTTTCGCGTCCCGTTTTACTGTAAAAAATACGTGACAGGGACTCAAAAGTTCTATCCCGACTAATACGGGACGTCTGGTCACCTTACCTAGGGTTACCATACTTCCATTATGGAAAAGAAGACACTTAATTTAAAATGTTTTAATATAATATTTCATCTTAAAGACACAATACTACTGGCAAATATTTCAATCTTTGTCATCATTATCACAATCACTCAGTAAGCCTATTTGATTATCATTAGTCTTTTCCATTCTTATTCCAGAAGTATTTAGTGGATGATGAAATGTCCCTCACCAATTAAAGCTTTGCTTTGCACTTTTGTTTGCTATTAAAGGAGGCTTTTCTTTTTAGCACTGCTCGAAATATAATTCCGCAGAGCAGTTGGTAGCACTGTCGCATTTCATTAAAAAAAAAAAAAAAAAAAAAAAAAAAAAAAGACGTAAAAGTAGATATAGTTGACTAGCGGATTCCGGCTGACGTTATCCTGCTCTCCATCTCCCTCCCTCTTTCTCCTTCCATCTCTTTTTCTCTCTCCGTCTCTCTCTTCGCTTTGCCTCTCTCTTTACCTATCTGTCTGTCTCTATCAGTTTCTGCCTCCCTGACACTGTTTGACTATCTCTCCCTGCTTCTCTGTCTACGTCTCTCTGTCTCTTTCTCTCTCTCTCTCTCTCTCTCTCTCTCTCTCTCTCTCTCTCTCTCTCTCTCTCTCTCTCTTCTATCTCTCTCTTCTATCTCTCTCCTCTCTCTCTTCTCTCTCTCCTCTCTCTCTCCTCTCTCTCTCTCCTCTCTCTCAATTCTCCGGCACCTCTTCTGGCCTCTGGTGGAATATAGTAATAGAAACCTGTCTCAGGCGGATGATAATGACTGCGAGACATCTACCAGCATATTATTTAAATTATTTATTTTCCGCATTGTGTTGTATTAATCATTACCAAATTTTGCTTAGACACTGCGTCACATCCTAAAAAAGAGCCTGTAAATATTTTGTATCTATTCATACATTTTTTATGCATCACTGTCTATTACATCGTTTAATTCTCTTTTATTAGTATAGATTTATAGATTTTGACAGTTGTTTGGTGAAATAGTTGAAGTTAAATGTCATTTATTTATACAATGAAATGTTATGACAAATTTTTTGATGAAATTTTGTCCTTGAATAACATATAATTTCTTACATCAAAGATGCTTAAAAAAGACACAGGTTGTAGTTTTGTTGAAATATCTCAATTTTCATTTTAAAAAGTTCAACTTTTCTTCGGAATCTTCCTCCAATTACAGTGTGAAAGATAAAGATTTTTCTTCTGAATAAAATCTGTTTCAAAATTAGATCATTAAATATGAACATGTCCATTTTTTTCAAAATAGGAATAATAGGAATAGTTTTTAGTAATTGTACATGAATTAAAGGTAACGAATTGGAATGAAGTAAGTGAATTGGCATGAACTAATTTCAAAAGCAAAATTTTCTCAAAATCCACTTCAAGGGTTTCCATACATTGTTTGTATGGAGAGTGCTATGTGTGCTGAAGAACATGACCTAAACACCATTTTGCTGTTTTCTTGTGATTTTCAATAATTACACAAATGTATTTTTTTTATATTACCCACATCATTAATATTTACATTAGAGACATTTTTTTACGTTTGGTACCATTGAATTTATGACTAAAAGTGATTCAAATGATTTCTCATGAAGTTTCTTGAATACTCAAAACTTTTCAGTGAAAATTAGCTCAAAATTGCACATTTTCAGAAATGCTCAAAATACATTTTCGAAAAAAGTCTCCAAATTTTTTCTTAAAATTTTTTGCACAGATAGTGCTACATACACTAAATTATGTCACATAGGCTAACTATATGCCATTTAATATATTGTTTTGTTTTTTAAAATATGAAAGATATTAATATGAAGTCTGCTACTAGTACAATTGAAAGATATGTTTCAATTGTACTATTAGCAGACTGAAAAATTGAGAAAAGTTAAAAAATATATTTTTGGTCCCAATAGAAGGCAGGTCGGAAGAGGATAAGGCAATACTGAAAAGCAGGCTTAGACTAAAGAGATTAGAAAACTAACTAGTGTGAGAAGCCTATCATTGCCTTTCGGTAGCACCTCTAGTTTAAAATTGTGCACTCATAGAGAATATAATTCTCTTAACAGTATTGTTTCAATCTGATCATATTAACAATAAAATTGAATTTTGAAAATAGCACAAGTTCATTTTCTTTTCAACTGTCTCCTACAACTAGATAATTTAAGTATACATTTTTATATTAACCATCATTATGAGATCTTTAAATCTAACAAAGCTTTTTTATAAGAAGTTTTTGTGTAATTTGGACTTATATTGAGTTACAATCACCGCAACATTAACAATTCCAGTTTTTTATATTATGGCTGACGTCTTAGGTGGATAGAAGTTGCAAATGCTGTCCCATGTTCGTAGATTTACTTGCATGTAAAAGATCCTCAAGCCTAAATGACGCCTCTGAGCTAAATTCAAGTCGCCTGTTTCTCGCCCAAGATACCTCCTTTCTCCGGTAGTTGGTGAAAGGAGCGTAGCGAAATTTGCGTGGTCAGACGGAAGAGCAGGCCTAATGGCCTGAGTCTCGCCACGTAAAATAAGGCATAATTCAATTCAATTCAATTCAATTCAATTCAAATTATAATATTACATAACTGTTATCAATGGTGCAAGAATGTATGTGTTGATGTTGGAATACCAGCTTATATTGTGTATATTTTGAAAAGAAAACAGCATACGTTAAACATAAAGATACCACTAATTTACCACTATAACAATCATTGTTCATTTGAAACCCTACCAAACCCATACCACCAACAAAATGCATCGCGAGCTAGGTGAACCACATCGCGTGAGTAGACCATGATGTGCTCCAGTGCTACAGGGCATGACATAGTTGTTCTAACGTTTATAAGCCCTCTAAAGAGGAGTGCAAGTAGTAGAAGTTGGTGAAATAAACAAAAAAGGTTGTTAATGCTCAATCCTTTTTCATGTTTTTGTGAAATTTATTAAACTAGTTAAGTGATGTGATTGACAAAACTTATATTTTTTTTCTTATTGATCCATATCTTTGTTTTACTAATTAGCAAATCATAATATTCTCTAAAACCAGGAATTGTCGTAATACTGTGTCAATACTCATAATAATTGAATAATTAAATGTGAACTTAAGATCATGGTCTAAGTTTAAACATTTGATGAAATACTGTCTGTATGTATATAATTGATACACAAAGAAAAACAAACAAGAAAGAAAAGACTGAGCTGCTCTCTCACAGTTTTTGAACTATTTCTTAGTTTTAAAAGAATGGTTTCATATACTGTGATATCTTAACCTATTTTTTCATTTGTTTTTTTTTTTTACAGAACCACATGGCAAGACAGTTACCAGGCATTAATGTTGCTCAGAGCAGGGAATGTCTTCAGGAGAAACAGGATGAACAAAGTAATAGAGAAAAAAAACTGAATCTCAACAAAGACAATTCACTCAGTCGTTTCATGATTTCACCATATTTTGGAAAACCGCTAGAACATAAGTCAACAGTTCCATTTAGATGCCATTGTTAGAAAATTTCAATGAGATATCACGTAATTGAATTAAACTTTTTTGGGTACTGTGTACTTTTCAGTGAGTAAGAAGAACATCTTGCAAATATACATGTTAAATATAATACTGAAGTTCTCAAATTTAAATCTTTTTTTTTAAAAAACAAACTGTTGGAATTATTTTAACTTATCTTTCTAAGAGCTCTTGACATAATTTTGTGAGAACTTAATAAAAAATATTTTGCCATGTCCTTCTACTTCAAAAAAGTTTTGGATTCTTCACAAAATTGGATAGATTGGCCATTGTTACAACTGAACAGATATTTAACTTCTGTGTGATTCAATTGTGTTGTGTTACTTGCCTGAGGAAAGAAGTAGCCCTGTTCCTAGCCATGGCTCTAGCAGTTTGTTGTAGAAGAAGCTCTTGGATAAATACTTGTAGCCAGAAAGAATCCACTGAAATTTAAAAAGCAAGTAAAGAAGATATTGTTGTGAATTCATGCAGTTCAAAAACTGGAAGAAACTAAAGTATACAAATCAGATAAAATATTAGTCATTTGATTACTTGGTAATAACAAGTTATAATTTAGTGTCTACATTGAAATATGACGTACATTATGATATATTATGTGAGATATTTTATTTCTGTATTTTGAATTTCTATTTAAAGAAAAATTCTTCATATAATGTTCTGTTTAAATATTTACTCTTTCATTTCAGAAAAAAATTGGACAAATATTTTATAATAGGTAGAACATGAGTTACTAAATTTTTGCACTTGCTACTAGTAAATATGGAATGCATTGCTGAACTGTTAATTTTCTTAAATACAATATACAAATAAAAATGTACCTACAGATTCATCTCAGAGTCATAATTAGAAACATTGGGGCTCTGGGGCAACACAGAACTATTGATCACGTGCAATGTAGTTGTCCTACTTGATCATTAGGGAGAGGGTTTTATGCTGTGAAAAATCTTGAAATGTACTATTAAATATATACATTTATAACCTAAAAATTCTGAAATGTGCACTTTAATATACAATAAATATTAACACTATTTCACATTCTTTATAAACCTTTCTACAGAAGCGAAAGCATTCTTGAAATGAAAATGCATGTTTTTGTGCAAACATCTGATCTAGCTTACTTCTACCTTACATCGCACAAGAAATAACTGAAGTAAATATTCACCTTAGTGAATTACATTGTATGCCTGGTTGCATTTCTTCTGCCTGGTGTAAAAAATATAATATTAAGATATATCCTTTGCACAAGCATTTGATCATCATCAGAAAAGGGAAACAAAACAAAAAAAGAAAACTGTGACAAGCTCATTCTGTTCAATGAACGCTCACAAATAAATAGTAGATTCTATGAAAAGATGAAACATTTTAGAGATAAATGTCTAATTTAATGAGATATGCAAAATATGCCCATATCCTCTATAATTATACAAATATGCACCAACAGGAAAAGTCTGCCAAATACGCATAAATATGCACCAACATGTTAGTCTACATAGCAACCAATACTAAACAAATGTCAAGAAATTTCACTTAGCTATACCCTGAAGCAATGAACAAAACTAGGCAAAATCATAGAAATCTGCTCCCTAATGATCATAGTTTCCCCCAATCTTAAACAGTTTTTCTTGGTTTGGGGATCACTGTCTTAATAATTAAAGTAACTTTTTTAACATGAATCAAAAGAAATTGTCTTTGATAAATGTAAGGGTTACCAGAAATTTTTTTTCCCAATGGAGAACATTTTACTTAAAAAGGGAGGATATTTTAATGAAACAATGTAGACAATGTACTCAACAATTCTAAACCATTAATAGTCTTTAAAAATCATATTGGATTATGCGCCATTAAAAATTAAAGCAACCAATTTGAAACTTTTAACCCTGCACTCACCTTCATTATCTACCAAACAATAACCATAAATGAGTTTTATACCACAATAACCTAAATGATCTATTATGACCTTAATGACCAATTTTCTTTGAAAAATTTGGAGCCGTTTTTAAGAAAATGACGTTTTAGCACTAAATTTGAAATTTGAAGCTCTTTTTCACAGAAAATTCCTCTGCCTAAAATGGTTTAAAAACCTTTTTGTTTTGTGTTTGTAAACTTTCTTGAAGTAAAAAGTTCTTTTTCTCTAAAATAAAGTTGTAATATCATGATAACTAAGTTGTGTGTGGTACTGGACTGGGGCAAAAGGGGGCGGAAGAGACAGAGTAAGCCTTTTTAGATTCTGTTCTGTTCCCACAAATCAGAAAAGTAAAATTATAGTACACTCGGAACAAAGAGGACAAAAGTGGATTTCTGCTTTGAAGTGAGAAAAGTTTAATGGTTTTTTCAAGTCAATGGTGATCACAGGTAACACCATCTTTGTAGTTCCCAGTTCAAACAACTAAACATCCATTCTCAAGTGTTTCACCTGTAAACGTACGCACATTTTTGCAACAGTATAAACAATACAATAAAACGAACATAGCTCTAAAAAATAAATTGTCATTTACATGCAGTGTCTGAACATATTGAACAAACACAGCATCATAATATGTATGATCCACTAAATTCTTTTGGATCATTGAGACTTTATTTGTTTAAATTTTAAGCTCAAATATGATGTAGCTCACCAAATCAACAGTTTACTTTTGCCACCAGGGTTATCAAGTCGTATGTATTCATTGCATCGCAAGAAATGATATCAAATGTCTGTTAAAACTTGGTGAGCAAAAGATATTGAAAACATGTATTTTGCAAATGTGCACTCACCACTAATATACGGAATAATATTTTTGGGAAATGTCCTTGAAAGCTCTCACACATTTATTATCCAAAAAAGAATTCTACAAACAATGATTAGCACTCATTAGCTGCAGTTTTACAAACCCTTGTTCAATAAACTAAATATTCTTCTTATACCTTGCATGTATATATTTGAAATAGTGGTCACCACAAAGAAGATTCTCATGGAAAACAAAGACACTTTTACTCTAAATTTTGATGTACACCACTACAACACTTGACAAAAAGATAACGTACATATTTCCCTCTCTGAAACTACACTTTATCAAAAATGTACCCTAATAGAGGGCACTATACTTTACAACAATCTGGGCAACGATATTAAAGACATAAACACAATTCTTACATTTAGAGTAAATTGAAAGCTTTCCTACTAAAGAACATAGTGCAGTGTGAAGGAATATTCAAATCACAACAATACTTCACTTAAAAATATAAATAAAGAAAAATTCTTAATCCATTTGACTTTCTGTGGCATGTTGACTGTTTTGAGCTGAAGCAAAGAAAAAAGAACTGGCATATCATATCCTGTGATGCACAAGGAGAATGCCTGACCAAAATTTCTTTCCAAAGTTTCCTTCACCCTGGATTTGCTAGATGCATTAGGTGCTGCAGGAGGAGTAAGTATACAAATTGAAGAAAAAACGGCAAAAATCTGCCTCCTTCTCGTCATTTCAAGATATAAACATAGAATTTACTAATATGGTTAAAGTATATGTAGTTGCTACAATAACTGATTTCATACTATTTTTTTATTATTATTATTATTATTATTATTATTATTATTATTATAAATAGCAGTAAAATGACAATAACAAATAAATTTTACTTTTACTTTAAACATGAAACTACAAATCTTGAAATGTTAAATATTTGCTAATAAAAATAATAATCTTACTGTGTAATATCTTAATCTATCTGTAACAAGTATTGAAGTATAATTCCTAGGCCAATGAGCCCATCTTGATAAGGTTTTTTCTTCAGTTTCGCTGGTCCCTTGAGCAAATGCTGAGATGATCTGTTGGTTTGCTTCTGGACAGTAATGTAACTTCGCTCTCTCCAACTAAGACATCACATGGACTTGTCATATGAGTCATACGAGTGGGCTTGTCGTACACAATTGTAATTGTATATGTGACTCAATAATAATAATAATTATTATTATTATTTATAATATTATTATTATTAAAAAACATGTTTAATAAAAAATTCTAATATTAAAATCATATGGGATAACACAAGTAATATTTTAAACATGTGCCCTTCGACCATTAAAATTTGAATTCAGCACAGGCAACTGAAAACACTTTTTTAATTAAGTTAAAGAGTGTAATATTTATATTTTTAAATAACCATATATTTATTATTGTTAATATAAAAAGAAAAATGCAGACCGAAACGCCATCTATGCGTTTCTTGGAACATTTTGAACTAAGAACTGGTGGGTTGATCTGTCGAGTCAGTGTGTGGTCGCGTGTGCTTTGTTATGGACGTTTATGAATACTTTAACTTTGTATATTCAAGGTGAGTAATAAAATAACATGTTAACAAAGAAATTAATAGGTTATGGGCCCAGGCCACATGTGAATCGTGAGTGGATCTGAAGTTGAACGTCCGTAGAAAACGTGCTGTTTGTTTTTATTGTTTTAGATTTATTATTAGTATTATTATTATTATTAATAATAATAATATTAATATTTCATTACTTCCGAACCGGAGCTTTGTGTGTAAACAACAAACATAGCTACAGGGAGTGACTACGGTTTTGGCAGATTACATGGAGAGGAATGTTTAATTCATACAATTAATCATGTAGCAAATTCAACTAAACGGTATAGTACATTTTGGAAGAACAAAGTTCTTAGTCACGCTCACGAAACTGCGATTTAGTTAAACGCACTAATGCACATAAAGTAAAGTTAAGTAAACAGGGGTACCCTTTTCTAATGACATCTTGTAGAGATAACTAAACAAATCGTTGAGTTGAATAATACTGTGAGCAATATTTACTAAACACATTGCAGTGAAAATAACTAAACGAAACGTGAAAGAGATTACTTTCTTTCTATTCCTTCAGGCAGGTAGCATCTGGGGTTCCGGAGCGGTCATCCATCCTTCGACACCGAGAACTCGTACTTAAAATCCTCGCGTTCCTAGCAGTTACGAAGGCAGGCTGCCGACATTTGGCTACCGACGACTCTACCATTAGTTAAGAATGTAAAATACTATTATTTAAAATCAATAAAATACTAAACACGCCATTTATATATCGTACATTTCTATATGGAGCGTTGAATTTTCACATTATAACATTCCGAATTGGTCAGATGGCTGAAAACGCGCGCTTACTAAACAGTGTTCAGAAGTGTTACGACATGAAACGTAGATCTCAACTAATGACTTTATCTACGAAACAAGTATAGTACCTCTGACAAGTCTCTCTCTCTTTTTAATTAAAAAAAATGTTGCGTCTTTAATTCACGCGTCTCGAAGCCCTGCGAGGCGTTGAGCGCTTTGCGCTTCGGGAGTAATCCTCCATTAATATTAGCGCGGGAGTACAGAGTAATCCTCCATTAATGTCAATGTCATAACGGTCACGACTCGCCACAGTCAGTTATCAAGAGGACCGCCATGTAGCATCTCCGCATACGCGCCTCCCACTTCGCGTCCCTGCGTCACTACATCACTACTCAGAGGCCAGAATTGGGAAGGAATTAGGATTAGGGTAGGGTTTAGGACACTTCACAGGGGTTGGACAGTGAAGCATGCAAACTCGTTTTGTCGTAACAAATTTCACATGATGTTCTACGTGGATTCAACGGGAATCGAACCCGGAACCTCAGTGGTGCGGGAACCCGGGGGTGGAACCCGGAACCTCAGCGACTTCGCCATTGAGCCACGAGAGTATTTTTTGTTCATTCACTTACGATTTTGAATTGTCTGATTTACTAAACGAAACTAAATCATGATTAGCGAATCCTAGTACCCGAATGATTATATTGTAATGAATATTGCATCATCTGCCGGGATTCGCTGTGCGGATTGCGTCATCTGTCGGCGCTCCCCCCCCCCTTCCCCACGAACTGGAAGGTTCCGGGCTATTTGCGAGTCGCGTAGAAATGCGGAGCAAGTGCCAGTTGTGTCGAGACGACGACTAAATTCGCCACTGCCGGCGGTCGCGAGTCAGTCAGTCGGAATTAAGCAGCCGGGAGTCAGCAGTTTTAAGCCTGCAG